ACATTGCATTGAGATCTAACACATCGTGTCTAGCCTAATATATATCCCTCCCTCCCTCCCCCCCACCCCCCCCCTCCTTCCCCCCCCCCCGACTTCCCAGAACCCGTACACGGTATAGATAATATCTGTCTTAAAAGCTATATACACATATATCAAAAATTTCAAACATCAAGGATGAGAAACTAGGACAACATGTTGATACTAATCATCCTTTGTATTTGGTACAAACAATAGAAAAATATATTCTTATTTAATACCAAATATAACTTCATCATATTTTAAAAGTATATTTTCTTATAGTCATTATTATTACAAAATGGGCTTGCACTTTATTTTATAGTAAAGAGAATAACACATGGATTTTTGTGAGAGGAGGAGCAGAAGAAGAATACTCATTAAAGAAATTTCCAAAATGAGTGGAAAAAAAGTTATTGCTGTTTTAAGAAATGCCTTCATTGAAAATTGGTTCAAGATTGTTCACTGCCAAGAATTACTTGTTGAGATAGGCTATTCAAATTGAATTAATGAATTAAATGCGATTCTTAAATAAAAACACTTTATTTCAGGTTTGAATGGAGTCGAGAAAAAAGTTGCACTATGAAATGAGTTGCACAAGGTCTAAAACATTTCTTCCGAATAAATTTCAAAACAGATAACACAACCCTAGTATTCTGTAATATATTGTTTAACATAGTGAAAGCAGGAGGGTTTACTGATCCTTCTATAACATACTAACTGCATATCACATGGTAATACACATGATTCTTCTATCGAAAGATACTGAATACAAAAACTCGAGTGCAAATATAACTTTTATTCTTTATTATGTAAAGGCTAAAAACAGGCAAATGAACCAGCATACCTACCGTTTACGTACGGGAGACATATTCTGAAGGCTTCCTTTCAAAGAATGCTCCTCAAGAGTCCAACACTCCATCAGCTCCTGTGGTACTCGCCAGTAGCTGGCACCTTGTAATTTCAAACACATCATTTCACAATATTCAAGATGCATATATTTGGTAACTTCTACCTGAAATTTACTGATATGCAATAAGGAATGTGTTAATGCAACTGGAAACATACCTTCATTACAAGAATCTCTCTGTGTGTTCCCACAATTCGTGACCCGACAAATGCGCGCACGAATAAAGCGCGCCGACAAAACCGCGACGAGGAAACAGCGAGGTCGAAATCATGCCCACAACAGCGCGCCGACAAAAGCGTGATTAGGGTTAAGGTAAGGGTTAGGGTTGGGGTTAGGGTTATTACCTTGCTTTCAAGTTGTTGGTTGATGGTGCGCTTTTGTCGGCGCGCTGCTGTGGGCGCGCTGTTGTGGGCGCGATTTCAACCTTGCTGTTTTCTCGCTGTGGTTTTGTCGGCGCGCATTTGTCAGTGAATCCCCACAATTAAAGAGCAATGTTCTGAATATCTTTTTCTACGTACAAAAGTGAACTACATCCAGCATTAGATAAGTGAAGTCGCTGACATAAAAATATGAAATCTTGTTCCCTCTCTTCATCCTTTTACTCAATGGCCCCCAACCTTTCCAGCTCTGGACCTGCAACCGGCAGCAACGCCGGGGAAAAGGATGGTTTCATGTGCACAAATGGAGCTTTGCATGCTCGCTTGCCACTTCCGCAGCCCAGTTCCCAATGAGGCCACAGACCAGGAGCAATTTGAGTATGCTTTTACCGCATACCTCCCAACATTTGGAAGATTTTCAACCTGCTGTACTTGTTCTGTTTATATGTAGAGGGAGGGAGAGATTGCAGGATGCAACTCCGACTTTCTAATTTATAATATTTTTTTACCTTTTTATAATTTTATAATCCGACTTTCTAATTTATAATATTTTTTTACCTTTTT